AATTATGATTTAAACAGTGGCTGCATGCGATTTTTTTTTTTTTTCTTTTTTTTTTGAGGACAAATAAGCAGCCTTCAAGATGTCTCCAAAAAACATGAACCTTTCACAACACACCTCTACAGCTCCTCTTCCTGTTCCTTCTGGAGTTGTGACATTGAAAGTATGAAAATGATTTACATCATCAAATATCTGAAGGAAAGAAAGATTTGCAGATAAAGAGGAATTTATTTTGATGCCAACCCCCAATTCAGACAGATTTGGCTTTGAGTGCTTTCAGAACTCAGTGAGAAGGAGACAGGCCCAGAAGGGCAGCACACAAGAACCAACCATATGTTTTCACAGTGCACCGTGAGTGGCAGAGGATTTCACAAACGCATCCTGGCTGACTCACAGTGGTTGCAGTTTCAGTCACTGACTGAAGAGACACAGATGTTTTGGTTTTGCTGCTCTTGTTGCTTATATATGAATGGAGTCTTTGCACCTGGTTTCTCACTTCATTTACAGTGGGTCATCGTTGTGTGTTATTTCTTTCCTCTACCATTTTTCCAGTCTTTTCCTTTCCCATAGAAATTTCCCAACTACAAGAGAATGAAGAAGTAAACAGAGAAACTTCAAGAATATAGATGTGGACCATTCTTTCTTCCAATCTCCTGTAGACAAGTATTTCCCAACCCGCTCTCAGGTGCCCAAATAAACATCTGATATTTTAATGATTCATGAGAACCCCCACCTGCACTTCACCCAGGATCAAGAAGCATAAATTCCTTTTTCCACTTTGCAAACAAAAACAAGGAGGAGAAAGGAATGACATAGATGTCAAATGACCACATACACACACAAAAAAAAACAACGTAGTGGTGGTTTTCAACATCACTCAATTACAAAAGAGGCCCCTCATACTTAAAACCTGGTGTGACTGCGCATTTAACATTTCAAGGAGGCATTTCCTTGAAATGACTGCTTTGCTGCCTGCTTTCCCTACCTTTATGTCTTTTCCTGTCTGCACCCTCCCACAAACAGCCTTTCTCCTTTGCCATTCAGTTATTCCTTTATCTTCTGTGTTCTGCCAGCTTTTCAGCAGTCATCTTCTAACACTATTTCCACTTGTGCTTGAACCTGAACTTATCTAGTTTATTTTATCACATCAATGCAGATTATCATCACCTTAGGGAAAATATCTTCTATTCCTGCATGTTTCTAAAACCTGCTTTGGAAGAGATAATAAACGATGTGATTTATTCATCTAGAGTTCAAAGCCTGTGGAAATACAAGCAATCTATGTGCCTTTGCTCTCCTTATAAATTAGTAATGAGTTTGGAATGCTTCCCCATGGTAATTAAGCCTCATTCAGTTAAAATGACTGTATTCTGAGATGGAAGCCCCTTTTCATTCCAAAAAAAATTACATATTTTCTATTAACAGCATCACTAGAAACTGTACAAATGATTTCAGCACTTGAAAAGCTACACAGCCGAAAATGCTTCATGTCCTAGCCAGCTTCAGGCAATTTGTTAGGACAAGTTACAGCATATCCCTCAGTCATAAGTGCTTAGATAGAGTGAAACCACACTTAAAATGAGAACAAAAGGAAAGCGCAGAGTTTCAGTGCACCACTATACCTATATTCTAATAACAATTGCTGTGCCCTCCATGAAGAGCAAAGAGCCGGATGTCACTGTTTACTGTGGTGTTTGCAGGGACAGGAAAGGGAGAAGAGGAGGTATATTAACTCTAACCACAACCACAGAGAAGTCCAACATGTCCAAAAGAATAAATATTAACTTAGCCTAACAACTACTTTCTTGCATTTCACTGTATGTTTTAAGCAAAGCAAATATTCATAAAGTCACACTTGGTAAATGAAACCAAGACCCTTCTGGAAAACATGATTGTTGTCTGTCTGCATCATTTCTATTCAAAGCACTGCTGCTGGATGGAGAATGTGCTAAAGGAAGTTTTCCTCAGTCCATTCCTTGCTCATACACACCTTGAGTCTCCTAGCTTATTCTTTCAAAGTAGCTACATAGAAGTGTTCCTCAAGCCATACATGTTTATAATACTGTATTACAAAGCACCTAAGTCAATCAGAGGCTCATAAACATTACCTTCATATACAACTTCATGCACAGTGGAAATGCAGCTGTATCCTTGAATCAGCTCTGGAAGGCAGTCCTTGCAGAAGGAGTGAAGGCATGGCAGCATCCTGGGGTCTCTCCTGCACAGATCCCATTTGCACACCAAACATTTCCTCAGCACATCCAGGGGCTCCATTGCCGTTGGCTGAGGTTTGACATCAAAAACACGAAGAGTCACAAAACGGCTCATGTCAGCCCCTCTGCTTCCCACAACACTTGATCTCTCAAGCACAAAATAGAAGGCAGCAGTGGGGTGCACGTTCTCAGAAACAACACTTACTCAGTCCCTTGAAGAAAGAGGAAGTTCCTTGCAGCTAAAAAAAAAATAATCACATAACCCGCTTTACCAAAAAAAAACAAAAAACAAAAACCAAACCAAACCTTTGCAGATTGTTGTGCAGGAAAGTGTGGTTTAAGGTTTACAAACCATGATCCCACTGTCTCTCTATAGTACTTGCAGCTTTTGTAAAAAACTGAAGTAATCTGTTCTATTGATCTACTTACAAAGCTGATATCGGGCTGAACATGCTGTACATTTCCTGCTAGAAGCACTGAAACCATGCAATAAAAATGATATTCTCTGATTGCTTTTATAATTACACCTCAATATTTCAGAGCTTGCAGGTAAAGCAAATAAAGACAATCATAACTGCTCGTACCTCCATCATTTCAGCAATGCCCATTAGAAAGCTGCCTTGATAAATGCAATGCAACTTCTGTTGAGCTTCTTATAAATCTAATAAAGTGCACTTTGCAGTGATCAAATTTCACCAGTCAAGACGAACGAATAACACATCAGGTTATAGACCAAATTGGAACTTTCTGCAAGCAGGACATTTCCTTTGCCAACCTAAGCTCCTCAAGATGAGTTGAGTACTTTGCAGATCGTGTACCATCCTTGATTCTCAAATGTACAGAGATGTCAGATAGAGCCTGCAATGAGAAACTTTGGCAAGTTGCATCCAAGAAGGAAAAGCAAGCAGTCTCATCTCCTTTGGAAGCACCCCTCTGGCTGACTGAACCCTCTGGTGGGGCCAGAGCCCTACATGACTGCTCACTGCCTTGGCGTGGTGGCCTTGCTGCCAGCAGTACAAACTTGCAGCTGTCTCCAGATCTCCCCCTCACAGAAGAGCAGCAGCTCTAACCTTAGGGATAAACATCCCCTTGGGGGGAGTCCAGCTCAAGCAAGATTCCAATGGAAATGGTTAGCAGAAAGACCTTCTTCTTTAATGAAACAAAATTATAGTCTCAGAAGTCCACAAATAGTTTTGTGTTTTTTTTTTTTTAAATCCTTTTAAAAGTATTGCATCCTGAAATCCTAATTATTCAAACTACTTTAAAAAAGTAGTTTCATACCCAAGACCCACTACTAAGAAAAGGTAGATATCCATCAACTTTACTGAATGCACTTCAACAAATTCAAACCCATCACTAAAACATAGTTGTAGCATCAAAACAACTGGTCTGTTTAGAAATGAATTGTGGTGGCTGTACCTGTAGTTTAAGTAATAGATGGTACAAAAGCAATTATTATAGGATAGAATCACAGAACGATTTGAGTTGGGAGGGACTCTTAAAGGCCATCCAGTCCAACTACCCAGCAATGAGCAGGGACATCTGCAGCTCAATTAGGTGCCCAGAGCCCCTCCAGCCTGACCTTGAATGTCTCCAGATATGGGGCATCATCCATCACATCTGGCACGTGATGCATCACATCATCTTTCAGAGACAAATGCCATTAGGGCAGCACAGCTTTTTGGCTTGTGCCACCTTCGTTGCTTGCAAATACCATTGCTAAGATGACAAACCAGATCCTACAGAAATATGCAACGTCTGCAATAGGAATTTGAGGTCTTAGACTACCACGGTTTAGGCAAAGAAACCACAGCCCAGAGCCAAAGCACAAACGCAGGGAATCACTGCAAACACAAAACCAAATACTGGGATATGTTGCACCACTAGGAAGACCAGACAAGCAGCTGAATGAGTAGAAGCACGTTCCATACTCCTTTAGTTTATGTTTTAGTTTTTTTCCTAACAGGAGAAATTAAGTACAAGCATTTTGGAAGGATGGAGGATGACGGTGAGAAAAAATTTCCTGCTGAGTCAGGAATGCAAACCAACAGTCAGGCAGCTACATTACCAGTGGCCCATGGGAGACATCATGTCCAGCTTCAGAGGCTGCAAATGAAGTATCTGCGTGTGAGGGAGCTAGGGGAAGCAGCTGGCAGCAATCTCACCTGCAAGGCAAAGGGCCTGGCTTTTGGGCCATCAGCCTAAATAAGGGAAATCAAGTTTTTTCCTTGCCACTCAGCACATAAGGACTCAAATTCCAAACATCTAATGACCTTCCACAGAAATACAAGGTGAGAATTTAGTCACATTCATGAAATCAGGTGGTAAAAGCAGTAAAGTTGCAATTTACTCAGGCCTCTTGTGTTCCAAACTTTCCCCAGATATTCTGGACTATTTGGGAGATACATCTGAGGAATAGCCTCTAGGGTAATTGGGCTGCAAAACCAGCCTAAGCTTCAACAAGGACCAAGCCTGATAGCCATGCACCCTGAGGCACCATGGCCTCAAGCTTGTGCCCAACAGCTGCCCAACCCTGAGGGAGAGTGGTTTGTGATACCTCCTTAAAGCAAAGGAAGTCTGGCTATAAGAAAAGCCAGCGTACACTGCTACTTTGTGAAGGTAACATAGGAGGTACTTCTTCAAGTGCTAAATGCTGGCACTGTAACCAGGCAGTTTCAAATCACCCTAAGCACCTGCCAAACCATTACACAATACAGCCAGAAATAACTACATGGATAAGACTTAATGTGAACAGCATAGGACAAGACAAAAAAAGAAAAAGTCAGAAAATTCTATAAATCAACACATTTTACACATTGGTCTTTATTCAGAAAGTTTGAATAAAACTAAGGCCTTTATGCCACAAGCACACAGGCACCACCAACTTCTTTGATTTTCTCCTCTGCTCTTCTACTGAAGAACTTTGCTTTCACAATTACAGGCTGCTTGGGCAGCTTGCCCTTGCCCAGGACTTTGTAGTAACCCTAGAAAGATTAAAGAAAAACAACAAAAAAGACAACATTTAGTGTTTGCAACCAACTTCCAGGCTCTTCCATTCTGTCTTTTAGCACACATCAATAAAAACCAGAACTATGATCATCACTGCGACCTAAATTCCTCATCCATCTCTTAAGTTGGTAAAATATATCCTGCATGAGCTACTGCAGTTGTGTTTGTTCAGAGAAGTAGAAACTATGAGGTGGTTATGCTTTTTCAGTAATCTAGAACATGTGAAGCTGTTACCTTCCCAAAGCCACATACAGAAAACAATGCCAAGTCCTGAAAAGAAGTTGTTGACTGCTTCCCACTTTTCCAAAGGACAGAGCAGCAGGCTGCACTGCTGCAGCTAACTACTAGCCAGTTACATCTGGCCCACGCTCTTTACATCACCGCTCTGTTGGAATCCCCTCATTTCACCCCCATCCTCTCCATTAAAAGGACAATGGCACAAGGCCGGTTAGTAATACAGCCTTTAAAGTCACTGTTTTTCAGAAGTGGCAAAACCAGCCAACAAGGAGGCTTCTCAGATGCAGAGCATATCTACTTGATAAGGTAGTTACTGTCACTGATTTGGTGGCTGACTGAGATATGAGGTATCGCAGCCAGTGAATGAGGATCAGAAGTTTATGTCTGAGAACGATAGCACACCAGAACAACAGAACATGTAAAGATGTGACTCTATTCTCAGTATTAGAAATGGCTTTCTGTAAGTGAGAACAGCACTGTGATGTTTTCACATGTGCTTCTGGCAATTAAACAACCTACCACTTTTCAAAAAAAGGGAAGTCATTCTTACATTAACAACATAACCACTAGTTTACCTACTGATATGCTAAGATACACAATTATGTTCCAGGTTTACAAATATTCAGGCACTGCAATTTATTTGCAGTTTACCATTTTAGCCTGAAACACAAAGCTAAGTAACATGTTAAATGAGCAGGAACTGCAGTCCTGAATTTGAGCAGAAACTTACTGAGCGCACGACATCGATGACTGGGGCCAGTCCAGCCTGGTTTTTTGCATAATTGAGTCTTGTCTGCTCAGTTACAAGGGTCCATAGTTTATCCAAATTGACAGTGGGACAGAACTTTTGGTTTCTCTTCAAGTGATAGTGCCTCATACCCACTTTTCCAAAGTAGCCAGGGTGACTGTGAAAGAAAATACGTTTCTTGTTAAATCACATTTTTAATTCATCCTGAATCGGTAGGATTGTAACACTGAAACAAGGATCTTAACTTGCTCAGAGTAATCAAAAAAATTTAAAAAATTATTTCACTTTTGCATTATACACGTAGTATTCAATTGTAATAATCACTGCTATCCAAGCCACAAAAAAAAAAATAAAAAAATTCAGTGCCTCTTCTCCCTTGAACTTACAATTTAATCCTCCTCATGGTGAGTCTGGCCCAAATCTGTATTTCCATTGCAAAATCAAGTCAGTGAATTCAGGCAAGACTGCACTGCATGAGGAGCTCCAAAGCTCCTGTCACTAACCTGGTGACTGACTGAGACAGGAATGCTCACAGCCAGTGAATATAGATTAGTGGTTACTTTTCGAGTACTCTAGCACATCAGGACAACAGGCACTGTCCAGACGTGACTCTAGTCTCGGCATTCAGTCACCAACCCCCACTCCCTGCGGTAGGCAGCTAAAGAGCAGTTCTGATTTATGTAACATTTCTAATTCTAATTCATGTAACAATTCACATATGCATCTGTTAGCTGGACACCATCCTAACCAGCAAGTTTGGTCAAATTCACTGAGTTCTGCAAGATGACTAATTTAAGAAAGGCCTTTGAGTTTACATAAAATGAGGTCATGAATTGATAGCAGCTATGAAGCCATGCTTTGTGTTAGAAAAAAAAAATACGAAGGATTGTAAGTTTGTTCAGCGGTTCACATATAAAATATAGTTGTTTCTACTTCAGAAATGGGCATTTTTTGCTAGTACAAACTTAAAATGCTAGCTTACTATTTATCAAAGTTGATCCTGTGATGGTGCATACCACCAGCATTACCACGGCCTCCAGGATGCTTCCTGTGTTTGCCTGAAAAGAAAAATTCAACCTGTTACACCAAGAATATATAATGCTTTAACTTCGGACCACAATTAAATGCCAACTTCAGCTAATTACTCTGATGTCTGCAGTCTTACTCTGTCCTCTGCACACACAAGAACAGGCACTGCATGTTTAACAAGCCGCCCAGCCCCGTTCTCAGGCTCTACGTCCCCACATACACGCACAACCCGGTACCCGGCGACGCTCTCCCGCAGGACAGCCCCGCTCCTTCGGTCCCTCGCCCCTACGGCACCCCCACTCACCGATACGGCCGTGCCCGTGGCTGACGTGTCCCCTCAGCTTCCTGGTCTTCCGCAGTCTGGAAGGCTGTGAGGGAGCGACAGCGGCGGTGAGCAGCACGGCCGCGATCGGAACGAGACGGCCCCACCCGCTCAGGCGCCATGGAGGCCCGGGCCCGCCGGCGGGAGGCCCGAATAGCCTCACCTCGCCGCCCTCCCCATTTCATCCCATCCCGTCCCATACCATCCCGAGCAGGCCACGGGCAAGGAGAAGCCCCGCTCACCCCACCCCCTTTCCGGCCACATCTCTCAGCGACGGCAGGGGACAAGCAGCCCAGCTGCACCCACCATCTTGTCAGCGTGCGCGCCGGCAGAGAAAGAGCGCCGCGCTCGCGAGACCTGGGGAAGGCAACGCCGGGAGAGGCCAGCTCTCGCGAGACTATGCAGAGGCTCTCGCGAGACTGTGCAGGGGCTCTCGCAGCCAGGGTGGAGTCTCGCGAGATCGGCGACGGAGGCGCTTGTTGGATCCCGCGCAGAAATGGGCGGTCGTTCCGCCCTGTGTGGGGGTGCTTGGGGAGGCCTGTCCGCGAGGACGAGAATGGGTAGCGCTTATATTTCCGTTGAACTTGATATTTTACATTGAGCCTTTATTTGATGTACACTTTCAAAGTATTGACTCATAGAGTAACAAAATCATAGAATAGCCTGGGTTAAAAAGGACAATAATGATCATTGGGTTTCAATCCCCTGCTATGTGCAGGGTCGCCAACCAGCAGACCAGGCTGCCCAGAGCCACGTCCAGCCTGGCCTTGAATGCCTCCAGGGATGGGGCATCCACTACTTCCTTGGGCAGCCTGTTCCAGTGCGTCACCACCATCTGAGTGAAAAACTTCCTCCTCATATCTAACCTAAATCTCCCGTTTCCATTTAAACATTCCCTCTTGTCCTATTGCTATCATTGATACATGTTTGAGTGTGAGGGAGGCAAGGAAAAAAAGGAAATGACTTCACCTTTTCAGTGAATAAACCCTCGCTTTTGCTCTATGAGGCTGATAGCAAACCAGAACCACTGTCAGGTTTGGAATTGCGCGAGCCTCAACGCCGTAAGAGAGAAATGACTCTGCAAATGAAGAAAAATACAGTGCTTTTTTCATCCTTCAATGCTCTTAACTGCAGTGGACACCAAAGAGCAGCAGGCTGTATGGATGGCAGCTGATAGCTCATCAGAAATTCAAGCAACTCTCCCCCCCACACACCAACTGTTCTTATTCTGCTCAGGTCACTGAACCGAGGCAGTGCCAAAGCAATTTGAAAATACTACCGTGTAATCGTGGATTCATAGAATCACGGAAGTTGGAAGGAACACTAAGATCAACCCAGCCAGCAGCGCACCCCCACCATGCCCACTCACCACAGCCCTCTGTGTCGCATCTCTATGGCTCTGGAGCACCTCCAGGGATGGCAACCCTGATTCTAGGAAGTCTAGGAGCAGTATGATACATACAAAGACAGAAAGGGATTTGCTACTTGGAAAAAAATGTTTAAAGAGATGCTTCTGCTAGGATAAAATTAACGCCTTAGTAATATAAAATGCCTTTGCTCTGGCTCAAAACATTAAGTAGAATTAAAAACACGTTATGTCACAAAATAGCAAACTTACTGAGAGACAACTTTGTAACAACCATTTTGTATTTTAACTGCAAATTCACATTCACAAGTTCCTCTGGTTCTGTACCCACTCAGCATCAGAAGTACACAAAGACTATAAAACAGGTATATTTACACGGTTTATTGGGAACCATACTTACATACACGAGGAAAGGACATACTGTACCTACATGTTGCAGCTTGCATGTCAAAAAACGGAGCTCTCCTCACAGTTAGCAGTCTTAGTGCAGAATGGATTACAAGGAGTTTACTGACCAGCGTTCAAACCAAGTGGAAACTTTGTATTGTGAACCAAGTACCTTATTATCAAGTTACTTTCTTACTTCGTTTTTAAAATTTATGAGAAAGAAAAGTAGGAAAAAAACAATACCAACTCTGCCACACAAAGCCAGCCCTCGCACACACAACCTCTGCCATGGACCCATGGGTCCATTTGTTATCGCAGTACTCAGGCACCAGTGCAGTTCTCACAAACATCCCCTGAAATCAGTGGTTCTGCTGAGAGCTGCATGCAGTCAGCTACTCATCTTTGCACCAAGCGTAACTCAACTCATACTAGGAAAGCACCTGTTATTCTCAGGAATATACAAATATTTACCACAGTTTTCTTTGCTCATTACAAAATCAGTTACAAAAGCTTACAGCACAGTATTTACAAATCCCATCCAAATACACGGATGCTCTGTAACAGCACGGGCAGTCACTCAAAGCTGCAGTCAGCTTTTTTCATTCTCCCACATCAAGGTCTGCAGCTGCAGGTGTCCCAAGCACAGTGTCATACGTAGTCTTTGGGTTGGTGGTTCAGCAGAAAGGGATCAGTTTTTCTTGTGAAGGAACTTCATTTTGTTTCCTAAAGAAAATGCACCACCAGTCACTTTTTCACATACTGGAAAAGACAACTGCAATCAAAAGTTACTGAACGAATGGGTTAATTTGCAGTGCAATTGTTTAACACCAGGAGGAAAAGCCAATTAACAAAATGCTTAGTAGTCAGCTTTTTTTTTTTTCTTCAATTATGTTTGGAAATGAAACATTTGGAATTGGAAATGAAATGAAACCGTTTCACAAAAACCATAATGAACTCTGATTTTAAGTATGTTTTCATTGTATTCTTTTGATGTTTCCCATCCCGTACCTAAACCTCTGCTTCATTATCTGATTTCATCTCAAAGATTTTATATATTTTTTAAAATAAAATAGCACAGAAGTCACGTGAAAATTAATTCTAGAAATACTTCTATACAGTTTGCTCACCAAGGCCTCGCAGAAACTTGTTCACTCCACTTTGTTCAGTGTCTGGAAGCTCCTCCAAATACTGTTCAACCCTCTGCTCAAAGAGACCTACGGAAGAGGGGAGAACACTGAGCCGGAAAGCGCTCTGCCGACAGAGATCCCGCCGTCCCCTTCCTCTGATGCTGCTTCCTCTCCCCGCCCCTCGGCTCTGCCCCCTCCGCAGCACAAAGCCATCCGCAGCCTTACCTTTCGCCCTGCATTTTCTCAGTTCTCTGTCCTGAATGAAACCAGCGAACATTTGGGATTCCATGAACACTTCCAAGAAGCGGCGGATGCTCTTGGAGGCCACGGATTTACGGAATGCCTCCCTTTGGAAGACACGCTCTCCTTTTTCATTCTGGGTTAGGAACAGGGAATAATGGCCAACTGTCTCCACAAAGAATCGGATAAAAACCTCAGACACTAATCCATTCAGGGTGTTACATTCTGCAAAATAAGGCAGCAATAAGACACCACAATCAGCTGCTGCGGCTCTCAGCACTGTCCCCACCCCGGGCTGGGCACCGTCATCTAGCGGTTTACTGATGCAATGGTGATAAGAGAAAGGACTTTTGCAGCTCCTTTGCAGCCCTGCAACTGGTGTTTTGCAACCAAGAATCAACAAGAAATACAAATCCTCAGGAGACAGCTCAGAAAATTAAAAACTTTGTGGGTGCAGCATCGAAGTGATACTTCTAAGTTTAAATATGAATAGCTCTTTACTTGACGAGCCTCTGTGCAGCTCTGAGAATTAAAATGGATGCTTGGAGGATAATAAGCTTGTACACTGAAAACAGATCTAAAAGTATATGTAGTAGAATTTACGCTTTCACCACTACTGGTGTACATATGGCTTTACATATGTAAAGCAAAGATGAGTAGAAACAAATTTTAGAAGCTGAATAGAGTCCTCCCTCATACCTGTTAACCACAGGTGGTTACATTCACCCTGGGCTCTTTTTATAATTGCTGGAAAGAAATGTGAATCTTCCAAGGCAATTCAGCCCCTCCAGCACTGAAACCACTTTCTGAGGTACCTGCTGCTCTCCCTGAAGATAGCAAGAGCCAACAGGAGACCCACCTCTCAGCACAGATAGTTATTCTGGATTGAATCAGAGCCAAGTTAAGTACAACCTTTGTTTGATTAAAGGCTTAAAACTACTCGTGGAAGTATGTTTCACTTACAAAGCTATCAAAGTAGAATGCTGACAATGTATTGCTATGTGCTGATGCTGTCAGTCCCATTCCTTGTGCATTCAGAGACACTCCTTGATACTGCAAATTGTATCTGAGTACTGGAGTCCCCTCTTTCTTTCTCCTGGGTTGAAACTAAGAATAGTACCTACATGGCTGTTTATGAGTTTCCAAATGAGCTTACCATCATCTGAATCACTATCTGAGTCCTGATTTATCAGTTCATTCTTTCTCTCTAGAGCCTGCTCCAGAGCAGCTTGCAGCTTTCTAGGTAATAGTGTGTCTTCATCATCCATCTGACAGGAGAAAAAAACATCCTTAAATCACATTCATCCTGTGCATCAACTGCAGCAATTAATTTTGCACAGTTTAAGGTTCAGAAGAAAAGCATTTTGCATCAGCTGCTATCATGCCTACTTAAATGAAATAATAATAAAAACCTGTGTGCAGCTATCATGTATTTCTAAACATTTCTTGTCACTCTTAATGAGATTGAAGCCAGAAAAGATAATCCGAAGAGCAAGGTAAAGATCTGTGTGCTTGGAATCAGCTCTTCACAAGCCAAAGAGTCCAAATAGCTGTTTCACTGAATACACATCATGCGAAGAGCAGCCACATGGACACACAGCTGCTCTAGTTGCTTTTATTTAACTTCAGTTCTCAGTAATTGCTTTTACTTATGTTCTAGCACATCTTATTTTCTGGGCTTTTGTCCCATTGCTCCCTTTGTTTATTTAATGCTTGTTCAGCAAAGGTGAGCTCACATTGGAATATTTATAGGAATATTCACAGTCATATTTTCCAGGGAACCTTACAAGAAAATTTACTCACCTTGCCTACTGGTGGATACTTCTGAAATTACCAAGTGGCACATTTCTACCTGTCTGTTCACAACCCTTCTCCCACCACACTCAGCCATTCCCCATGCTCCCTCTCTCACTCAGAGACTTCTCTTCTTTGTAATTTGTGTCCTTTTCACCTTGAACAATGAGTTTTCTTGCTTACATGATGCTATTTTTGATGGTTTTCTTTGCACTGCCAATACAGTTATTGGTATCTTTAGCAGCTGCAATCCCTTTCGCACACCTGAAGACACTGGTGCTAATTTCAGATGAAACAGAAAATGAGCTCCTTTTTGCTAGTGTCTTGCCCACTGCATATGGGCATCTATGATTCAAAAGCAAGCAACCTAGTATGATAAAATTAAGCAGGTTGCTAAAGTATGTGGCAACATTTCAAGGTGTAATTTACCTGTCTGATGAATCGATCTGATCCCAGGTTAACCATCAGAGCCTGAAGAAAGAAAACATGATGGCGAAATGTATCTTAAGAGATAGAAAACATTCATTTAGTCTGCTTTCTAATGGAGAAGGATTGTCTGAACGATCCCAAGCCTCATCACAGATCAAATTCCT